CGTTGTTACAATTGCTTTCTTGATAAGACACACAGTAAAGATGTCTCGTACTTCATAAAGTATTTTTTTTTTTTTGAACGACTCAATATTTGAATAGTTTATTTAAAATATTTATTTAAAGTTGTTTAATATTAAATTTTCTTAATTCTTCGCAGTTGCATTACGCAATTATAAATCATCTAACATATAATACAGGCCGATTTCTCAAAACCGACGAAGTCGACTACCGTTGTCGCAAAAATCTGACATTGCCCAATAACGTTTCGCACGTCACTGGTTCTTGTCAGTCTTAACATTTGGTAAACAAGAATAAATGATTCTAAGAGCGTTGCGAACACAGCCTACGTCGGCTGTGAAATGTGAACATTTGACAGTTACAGTACAATAATGTATTTTCTGCAAAATCGTTATAGATAAAACGTAAAATTATTTTTTTTAATATATAAAATTAATGTACCCGATTGGAACAATTACATTACCTCTTCTTAACTGTTCATCTTTTCCAATATAGTGGCACATATTCACGAAATATTTCTTTATATATATTCATATGGATATGATTAATTATATATATCATATGAATATCAATCGTACTGCATATTCACATTATGGTCAACATTAGCCCAGCGTCTATGTACCAATATGTATATACATATATTGGCCATGTTAGAACTGGCTTTACATGCATTAGAGACTATATAGGATATAAAGTAGGCCCTGGTTTTGGCATTACCATTCCATTAGTATTTGTTTCTCTTTTGTGATGATTTTGCGAAAAAATCCGGTGTAGAATTGTGAAAGAATATGTATAGTAAACATTTTCTAACAGACATGATATATCTAATTGTAAGTGAAAGATTAAAAAAGAATGCGGAATCATTATTATATTTTTTGATAACAATGTTTGTTTGATTTCTGCCGCAAATCTACTGACATAGCATGTCGACAGAAAGCTTTAATTGTTATATTTCTCACAATTTGCTAATCGTCAGATGTTAGACTCTGTGCGCAATATCTCGTCTAGAGGGGTGTGAATAGTTCGAATTCAAATCGAATC